ATAAAGGGTGATTTAATGTTTTTAGTTTAATCGAAAACCAGTGGGTTTTCGTTGATAATTGATAAATAAAAATGATAATATAATTTAATTGGAAAAAAAAATGTTAATGATTAAAAGTGGTAATAAGTTGAATAAATTGATAAATTGATTAAATATTTAAATTTTAATTGAGAGAAAATAATAAAAATGATTGACATGAAAAATAAGATGTATTGGTTGGAACCCTTTGGTATCTACATGCCCTGATCTAAATGTATTGATTGTTCCATTTTGCCCTATAAATGTTTTACTTGCTCAATTATGTCCTATAAATTTTTGTCTCGTCTGTATCGACACTTAGGTGAAAAACGTGATTCTAGCCCTCAAGTGCGTTTATGCTGTGTGTACAGGAGACATGGAAATCTATATAACCTTTATGTGTAATTTTTTGTCTTTGTGTGTGTGTTGTGGAAAAATGTTAGAAGTCTGTTGTGTAAGAAATGTGTGAGCTAGTTCGATGTGTTGTTTCGTGGATGTGTAATTGGTTGGTAAAAAATCGATATGTAGACTTGAACTGGAATCAAAAATCGGTGGTATAGCGAAATCTGTGGCTGGGGAGAGCGGTGACCTAATTTGGATGAGCGGGGCCTTGTAATGAGACGCCGGAAGCGGGACTCGGGGACGCGAGGTCCGGTCTAAATTTATCCACCCCCTGTTTGCGTAATTGGAGTCAGGGCGACGTCTTGATTCTTCGCGGGAAGATATCTGCCTTGCTTCTATGTTTCCTGTCGGCCTAATTGTTTTTTATAATTGAATCCTTTACTTTCGGCATTGGTTGGTTATCTTTCAGTTACTGCTATCTTTTCGGAGTTTATTTAGATTTTCTGCGAAGATGGTTCCTAAAATTATGAGAAGTTTTATAAATACTTGTCCACAATGAAGAATTGCTTTTCCACAATGAAAAACTGCTTGTCCTAAATTAAAAACTACCTCTTGTAGTTCGAAGATTTTCTGATCGGGCATAGCATAGATAAACAAGTATTTAATGAATAAAATTGGGATACAGTTGTACGGTAGAACTAATAAACAAAGGATAAAAATCAGATGAAAGATAGGATATTGTCCCATGTTCGTCCACATTTTTGTAACTGGGGATTCTGAAATATTTGCTTGAACCTTATGAATTGTAGAATTTGAATGATTGGTAGGTTCGCAGTTCTCCTGTTTGATATCTTTAGGGAGTGTTGTGATATGATTGGATTGGTTGTCAGGTTTACAGTTCTCCTGCTTGATCGTCAATGGTTTTATTAGAGATATGTCGGCGGTAATTGGTTTAGGTTGAGATGTGTGATCTTTTCTCTGACGTGGATGTGGTAATTTTGGCATTGTTTGTGTTGTGTGTATGTTGTGCTTTATGTACGAATTTTGTTTTGTTTGGGTACCTGTGTCGGTATTTTTACGTGCAGGTTGTTTGTATTCATCGATTCTTCTAGCGAATCGGCAGGTGGGGCAGGTTTTTACCTGTTTTGCGATGTCTTGTGTCATGTTCTGCCAATAATATTGTGCTGAGATGAGTCTCGTCATCTTGGAGATGTTTGGGTGGTGGTGTTGTGTGTGTACGGACTTAAGAAGTCTGGTTGTAAATGAATTTGGGACTATAGTTTTAAGTACTCCTTTTCGGGAGACGGTGCGCAGTTTATTGGGATCCATAGTCACGCGGGATTTTCCCGGTGGAGAAGACTGTTGGCTCTTTATGAGTGGCGCGTCTAGAAAGCCACAAAATGGGATACGAGTTACAACGTCCGTTTCATATTGTTGTACTCCATTTATGCTACGGACCTCATATTCGTATCTTGACAATCTTAACCTCCATCGAAACAATCTGCCTGACGGGGCTTTGATCTCTTTCAACCACTGCAATGCAGGATGGTCAGAAAATATTGTAAACTTTCTGTCCATTAGACAGGTGCGGAAATTATCCACACTTTCCACAATGGCTAGGCATTGTAGTTCCAAGTCTGAATAATTTCGCTCGTGACTACGCAGAGATCGGCTGAAATGTTGGACGGTGTATGTCTTCCCATCAGGGTAGACTTGTTTAAGAACGCCTGTAACGCTGAATGTTGAGGTGTTACAGTACACCTGGCATGGCAGACCTTCCTGGTAAAGGTGTAATGTGGGGTGTGTGGTAAGGTTTTCTTTCAGGTTAGTGAACGCTTTCTGGCATTCGTCATCCCAGACCCACATGACATCCTTTTTTAGAAGGTTGACAAGTGGCGTCCGCAAGCGGGCGTGGTCCGGAATGAACTCTTTATAGGCGTTCACAGCTTTTAGGAAAGATCGCAAGGTTTTTCGATTGTGTGGTTGTTTGGTGGCGTGAATTTTTTCTATGTTTTGTGTAGACGGGATGATCGTATTATTCTTAACGGTTGTGCATGCGCTTGTTTGTCGTTGTTGTTGTCTTTTGGCGTGCGTGTTGCGTGTGTTGTGAGGTACATTTGCGTGTTTCTGGCGTTGCGAAGTATGGTCATGTGTGGATTTTGTGTGGTAAGTGGGTGAGCTGTGTCGGTGTACGGACACTTTTTTGGGCATTATTGGAATTGTAGGTTGGAGTCGTGGTGGCTTTACATGTTGTGGGCATATAGTACTGGTAATTGGGTTGAGTGAAAAGTTGTGTGGTGTGAGATTATAATGGTGGCATGTAAATATTTGGGGTTTGGGCAATGAATGCAGGCAAGGGTTTCCACGTGTGAAAGCTTTGGGTGCTGTGCGAGTCCTTTGGAACAGGTTTTGGCCTAGCCCGTGCTTGCATTCATTTGACACATGTTTAAAGTGGTAGATAGTATTAGACAATGGGACGCCAAGTTGGAAAATAGTGCCGCGATTATAATTTAGTTTTAATTTATATTGATAAAGGGTTTTTAAGGTAAGAACTCCAAATGGCAAGGATGCATTTACCACGTGGAAGTTCTCTCTACGGGTTATTTGGCCTATTGTCAGAGGGAAAGTTAAATGTCCTATTATTTTCGTAAAACTATTTAGGTGGGATAGATCAAGGGAAGGTTTTTTAATACTTAAATTGGGGAGTTGTGCTTTTAATCTATTGTATAAATGATACGGCAATATGTTCGAACCTGCGTCTGGTTCAATGAGAAAGGTACATGGTAGGTCCTGGGTCAGATACAAGTCCAAAGTTAATTTGATGATGTCATTGGGTGGATTGCCTACCTTAGTCTCGAAAAGTCTCCATTGTGGCGTCTTCGGCTTGGTGTGGCTGGCTTGGAATATCTGTTGAATCGGATCGGGACCTTTTGAACTGTCCGCGCGATTGAAAGGGAAATCTAGTCATTTGTACTGCTTCCATTCGAGTGGATCGCGTTGTCGGTACACTGGGTCCGTGTCGCGTGGGTTGCTTCCGGGTGTACTGGTACGGCATGGCGGGTGGCGATAACTCGGTGGGCGTCAGGTTGTTCGGACACGTACCGGCGGTGCGGGCGTCGGCTGTCCCGAGGGTGGCGCTCCGGAAGACCGCTTTCAGCTGCGTGGATCTCGCCCCTTGTAGCGCGGCGGTCAGTTCTAAAATTACCGTCGCCAGGGTGTGTCTTGTCGCCTCGTTCGTTGTCAGCTTCTTTCCGTTCGTTGCCAGTTCCTTCTCTCTTGGGTTGTCATTGCCTTTTGTTGTGCTAGTGCCTGGGTTAATTTCCATCTTTATCCTGATTAAGCTCTATAATCTTTATCCTGTTTAAGTTCCATAATCTTTATCCTGTCGACTCTGTGTAATATGGTGCAATTATTGTTGTTATTACACTTTTGTAGAATCCTGTCGACTTAACCGTTCTGTGGCAATATCGTTGCGGAATTTCTTGTTGTTGGATGCGAATGGTGATATTTGATTGAAGCGCAGCCGTTTGAGTGGAAGTTGCAGCATACAGTTAGGAATAATCAGGACACGTGATTGTTTTGAAAATAAAAGGTAACTGGATTGGAGGAAAGAAAGCTTGAGAAGAGCGGGGTGGTTTTGATTTGTCCTTAACTAATCACATGGCGGTGATTGTACTTAGCTGTGGGATGAGCCGAGGGAGAGAGGTCTAAAGCCGATGTCACCTCCTTGGGAGCCAAAGCGTAACTAACTATTCTTGTCTTTCGATTTAACACCACGAGACAGTTTCTCTCTGATTGGTTGAGAGATCTCACATGATCTTTTCCTATTGGTTGACCTACTTAAGGTGCGGTCTTATGATTGGTCGAGAGATGTCACATGCTCTTTTTCTATTGGTTGACCTACTTAAGGTGCTATCTTCTGATAGGCCGGCGGCTTCCCTTGATGAAAGCTGTGCCCTGCCTGGTATATCCAATTTCGTCAGGAAGTGTTTGGTGGCTTGACGCTTATAGCTTCGAAGGATATTAGACACGTCCTGTTTTGCCGGAAGTACTGGATGTCTCTCAAACTTTTATAACTTCTGGTCACTCGACACGTCCTGTTTGTCAGGAAGTATTGAGTGAATCTTGGCTAAAATAACTTCTGCGGTCACTAGAGACGCCCGGTCTCTGCCCCTGCAGTATTGACACAGGGGTGCCCAGAATAGTCGTGCCAATCTTAGATCTACTTCCTATATCTTAATGCTACTTGCTTCCCTCCAGTTACCTTGTTCTTTATTAAGTCTTTGAAAATCATACATGGTACATACATAGTGGGTCGGGGTTGCATTTAATTATATACAAATTATGACATATACATACATAACTAATTAAAACATTAAGACGCGAATGTTTCTTTTCACAAATAAATCACACTTACATACATAAATACATATATACATACATACTACAAACGTATATAAACACTGACTTTTATATTTATAGAATCACACATAACTGCAATGTGGAAAAGAAAAGGAAAAGTGAAGGAAAAAGAAGAAAAAGGTTAAGAAGTGATACAAATAAAAAGTCATTTTATAAATGTTCAAATGACTAGGAAAGGTATTAAGATCAATTGAAAAAATTATCAATAAAAAAAAAAGTTCCCACGCCGGGAATCGAACCCTGGGTGAGAGCCAGGTATCCTAGCCACTAGACCACGTGGGAGGTAGTAACAAACGTTGTAACAGTATTCATAAACAGTATTTTTCTAAAATATTATAAGTCTCTATATATTATTATAAGTTCAAAATATGATTTAGTTTCTTGAGAGGAATAGATTCCCCGCAAAAAATATCTAGTAGACACGTGATTTCTGGATATTTTATAGTATGCATGCGTAAACAATATTACAAATCTACTGTTCTCCAAATTTTAACAACTTTATTAGGTATTGCTCAAAAGAGAAACCATATTTCCAATCACAAGTTTCTCAAGTTTTATAAAAACAATTATAAAATAAACTTTTTCTTTTATCCGGGTGGTCTCTGGATGTTGACAATGTTTCTTTTGGTTTTGATAATGTTTTTTCTGGACTTACTTTGATTTTCAATGTTATTATTTTATATTCTTCCATTTTTTACATTTTGATTAAGTTTTATTTATTTATTGCAAAGCAATACGCGTTCTATATCATAAGTGGATATTTGACTAAGATAATGAAGCATCTGTCTCGGTCTTAAGTGTTTTCTAGTTTTGACTGCAGGCTTCCTTGAAAAAGTTGTATTTCCTAGTTTTTATGAATTTTCATAAAAATTATATATATATTATACATAATAATATTTAAATGCAATTCTACTTATCCTAAAAGCTTATGCCTATAGATTGCAAATACCATTTCTAAGATTCCATTCTTCAGTGTAACATATACAGAGGGTGTTTCCTTTCAAATGAAACGATTTCAAACGTCCGTTAGAACTTTATTTTTCGAACGTGAATTTTTTTCATGTGTTCTATGTGCTTCCCCTTCTTCTTGGCTATCTCCCTGCATCGGACTTTCCAAGCTGCGAACACTTCCTTGACTTTGGAGAGCGAAACATTCGACCACTCCTCTTGTGCGGCTTTCCAAAGTCCGGCCTCAGTTTTGGGACGTCGGTTGAAGAGCCGTTGTTTCAACATACCGAACCCGTAAAAATCCAGTGGGATGGCGTCGGGAGACTTCACTAGAATGTCCGAGTTCCTGATAAAATTTAGGCCTAGGGTGTCCTTCATTTCTTGTAGGAACTGTTGGGTTTTGTTGGAGGTATGGGAAGAGGCTTTGTCGTGATGAAGGAACACTTTGTCCATTTCCCCTGGGTAAAGGTCCTTCAGTTGTTCGATGACAGGTTTCAGAACGCATTCTATATAGAATTCTGAGTTCACCTTCACCTTCGATGGAACCTTTATGAGCGGAAGGACTCCACGGCCAGTCATTACCCCGACAACCATGAAACCTTTAGGGAAAGTTTCGAAGCATTGGTGAACACAATTATCCGGGACCTGATTGCCTCTTTTGATGTAACAGATCTTCCGGATTCCATTGCAATACGTCACATACATCCATGCTTCGTCCAATGTTGCAGTATATTCCGATCTGGAACCGGCCAGGTGTTCCTCGTAGAGCTTCCGGGCATTCGTTGCACGGTTTTTCATGTGGAAAGGGGTGAGCTTGTGAACCTTGCCTTTTCGTCGGGTATCCAGTTCCAAATCTTTGTGAATGATGTTATTTATCGTTTTTAGCGATGTTCCACACATTCTGGAAAGTTGGCGCTGAGATGGTGGATTTTCAGTAGTTGCTAGCCGCTTTACCTTGGAAACCGTGGCGGGGGTCCGCACCGGACGTGGTCGATCGACTTGATATTTTTGCCCATTGGATTCAGCTTCCCTTTTCTTTCCGATGCCATTTACTACCCTACATATTGTAGCTTTGCCAACATCTAGTCCTTCTGCTTTTAGCTTTTTCACTATGACGCTATAACTGTTTCCTTCTTTGGAAAGGGTCCGAATTGTTTGTTCGACTTGGAGCGTTAGTCTCTCTCCCCCCATGTTGCAAAAATCATGATACCTGATGAAAATGAATTCTCCAGAAGATTCTAGATCTATTGGAACCAGTGTCGTGTGCAGCATGCCTGCACGTGCAAAACGCGAGCGCTCGAAAATCGTTTCATTTGAAAGGAAACACCCTCCGTAAAACCAGAATGATCCAATACAGTATTAGAACTCTAAAGAAGCATTCTGGTAGATTAAATTAGCTAAACCGCTGGGGGGGTTCACCACTGATGAACCAAGCCCTCCCAATATTTTTTCATCGCAGTAAGGATAGTAGAAAGTTTTTATTTATTTGTGAAAAGAAACATTCGCGTCTTAATGTTTTCATTTGTCATATATAGATGACGCGTTATTGCTTTGTATAATAAGGTGTACGTACGTTAATGAAAGATAGGCAAATGTTCCAACTGAAATTCCAATCTCACCAGTAGTGAAATGATAAGCACCTATTGAAAGTAGAGGACATTGCGGTTGCTATGATAGAAATGCATTGAGACATCTGAGGCTCTTCATTGGACATGACAATAAAACAACCTACAGAGGGTGTTCCATTTTTAAAATAACGATTTTGTAGCGTTGTAGCTCACGAAAGAAGCACTCGATTCACGTGATGTTATATTTATTCAAAATAACAAGCATTGATTTATATTTCATCAACAAAAACTATTTTTAAATATGTTGTGTTTTAACTTTAAATGCACATAAAATATAATAAACTTGCATTTGTTTATTCAAGTCTCAAAAAAACAAAGCTTTGCATATAGAACAAATAATAATGAAGAAGAAGAAAAAAAAACATTTTAGGAAAAGCAAAAATAAAACAAAAGTACTGGTTAAAAAGAAACATTTAAAATCGCAGATTAATATCTTCAACAAAATATATCGAAATGCCTAAAATTATAAGTGATTATATAAAAGGTTACGTCTTCAGACTTTCCGAGGAGAGAAATACTCGTTTACCCCAAATTATTAAAATTATAAAAGAAAATAAATTTGATATTATTAAATTCACAAACAGTCACATAATAAAGGAAAGCAAATAAAAATTGATATCTAAGAAATTAAGCGATAAAAATTCCTCTGAAAAAAGGTGCGTAAAATTAACGTAAAAATATAGCATACTAACCGAATGACCCGGGCAACGCCCGGGCTTACCTGATTAAATATTTTAATTCAAATTCTATTCATTATACAATTATAAATTGGCGCCGTGGATGTCACTCTTGTGAAACGCCCCGCTCCAAACTTTGTGTGTTTTTAAAATAAAAAAAATAAAAAAAAATATTCGTTACAATTATAAATTGGTGCCGTGGATGTCACTCTTGTGAAACGTCCCGCTCCAAACTTTGTGTGTTTTTAAAATATAAAAATAATATTCGTTACAATTATAAATTGCGCGGTGGATTTCACTCTTGTGGAACATCCCGCTCCAACCTATGTGTGTTTTAAAATATAAAAATAAAAATAATATTCGTTACAATTATAAATTGCGCCGTGAATGTCACTCTTGTGAAACGTCCCACTCCAACCTATGTGTGTTTTAAAATATGAAAATAAAAATAATATTCGTAACAATTATAAATTGGCGCCGTGGATTTCACTCTTGTGGAACGTCCCACTCCGATCTTTGTGTGTTTTTAATATATAAAACTATTTAAAGGCATCTAAAGGGACAAGGTAATAAGACCAAATCCAAAGAAATAAATAGTGTGTGACGTTTAGGTAACAGCTTTCAGACAAATACTTTTGTCTGAAGATGATAACAACGCTGTTACCGAAACGTCACATACTATTTATTTGGATTTGGTCTTATTACCTTGTGTTTATAATCTACTAGCCGAATGACCCGGGCAACGCCCGGGGTTTACCCGATTAAATGTTTTTATTCAAATACTATTCGTTACAATTATAAATTGGCGCCGTGGATGTCATTCTTGTATAATACACTGCGTGACATTGAAAATGGAACACCAAGAAATAGTGGCCAGAAAGTGATGAAACTCGGCAGACAGAGAGAGACAGGGACGAACAATAAGTGATCTTTATTTCAAAATGATAGTCATAATACAGAGCGAGAACGGCGTCGGCTTAGTAGCAAGTAGGACCACCGCGGACGGCGATGCACGCAGCAACACGTCTAGGTAGAGAGTCAATCAGAGTACGGATGGCGTCCTGAGGGATGGCTCTCCATTCCCTCTCAACCATTTGCCACAGTTCGTCTTCTGAACGCGGCTGTGGCAAGGCATGCAAACGGCGTCCAATGATGTCCCAGACGTGCTCGATTGGTGAGAGATCAGGAGAGTACGGTGGCCAGGGAAGCATCTGTACATCTTGCAGAGCTTGTTGGCTAATGCGAGCAGTGTGCGGTCGGGCGTTATCCTGCTGATAAAGGGCATTGGGTACCCCCTGAAGGTAGTGGAGTGTCACCGGTCGCAGCACATCATCAACGTATCGTTGGGCCGTCATAGTGCCCTGAATACGAAGTAAAGGTGACCTGGAATCATACGCGATTGCGCCCCAAACCATGATTCCACGTTGTCGCACGGTGGGGCGTTCCACAATTGCTGCCGGATTGGACCTTTCTCCACGTCGACGCCACACGCGTACACGGCGACTATCACTGGACAAGCAGAAACGCGACTCATCTGAGAACACGACCCTGTGCCATTCCGTCATCCACGTCGATCTAGCCCGGCACCATTCCAAACGTTGGCGCCTATTCGGTGGGGTCAATGGCAGTCTTCTTAGCGGACGGCATGAGTGCAAGCCATTAGCAACCAATCGACGGGAAATGGTTCTGGTCGAGATGGAATGATCTAGGGTGTCTTGCACATGTTGCAGGATGGCGGTACAAGTGGCTTGTGGGGCCGCCACTGCTTGTCGAAGGATACGCCGATCCACACATGCTGACGTCACTCTGGTTGCACCGACATTCCTATAAATTGTCACATTTCCTTGTTCCAACCATCTTCTCCACAGTCGGTGCACCGTGGACGCACCAAGGTGTGTATCAGCTGCGATTTGACGTATGACCCTTTTCAGTCCGATCACCATGCCCCTCGTAAAAGCGTCTGTCTGCTTGAACTGCCTCCGTTTACGATGACCTGGCATTCTCTGTTATTACACGTGTCTTTTGACAC